ATAATATACTTAAAGGAATAAAGAATTTACAGAATGGAAAATATATTTGTAAATAGTGTTTACAGGAAAAATATGTAAAACATGGTTTAGAATAACCAAATATTATTAGTTTATACACGGTTTTCAAAGAAATGGTGAAAACACTTAGATTCATTTGAATTCATGTTTTTTTGTTCAACTATAATATTATAGTATACAGTAGGTATACGTGGTCAGCAAATCAATTAAGATCAATGTTTATTTATGGATAATATACTTTAAAAACTGTATTGTTTTTTTATTAACTAACCCACGGAAACTTAGGCCATTGTGTGGTTTTTACTGTGTGGGAGGGTACTGTAGGTAAGTATGTTTAAACACGTTTACACAGTTTGGTAGATTTTTTAGTGGGCACCCGTAGGTATCTGCCCGGGTGGGGGATGTGTATTGTTTTATTTTTAAACAAACACATAGGTACAGTCGTTGCCAGATAAATTGAGCAGGCAGCGGCGGCGCGATAACGGAAAACCAGTGGTTCTCCGTATTTCAATATTATTAGTTATTACCGAAAATACATCAATAAACCAACAATTGTTACAAAAAAATATTTTACGGTATTAATTTAAAATTGTTTGCACTGAGCCGGGTTCGAACTGGTGAATGCGAGCGTCATAGCCAACTGTGTGACCTATTCACCACACTACCAGCAACTAGTTTGGGTTACACTTACTGAAAATCGCCGCCGCCGCCGCCTGCTCAATTTATCTGGCAACGACTGTAGTTCGTATTTAGTTGTCTATTATTAATTGTTTAAGATATCATATTGATCTAATAGTATTTAAAAATTAAAATTAGCAAACAATTACATGTTTCGGGTTAAAATTTGGTTATTTAGCAAACTGTACAAATTTCCTAAATATTTATTATATCCAGTCGAATGATTTAATTTAAGAAATACTCAGAAACTTTATCTAAATAAATATAGGTACATTAAATTCAATCTATTGTTTACTTTACTACATAAATGTGTTACTTTCCGAAAACTTAAGTAAATTAATTTTATGGCAAACGTTCTATGCAAATTGCATTCCAATAACGAAATATACCTTTAGAAATATTTTGAATACTATTATGATTATTATACTCTATTCTATTGATACCTACGTCACACACGAATATAATGAAGTGACAAGCTATTTTACTTCTGGGTTTTAGTTTTATCTATGTTTAGGAAAACTGATGGTAACATTAAATAAGGTTAGAGAAATCTAAGGTTAGAAAAAACTTATTTAACAAACAAAATTAATGGTGTAGTGGATGAACTGCATTATTAACTGTATTATTAATTTATTGAGTCCATTTAACTTTAAATAAGTCACGACTCATGGGAAACATTTTTTAACCAAGTAGTTGTTCGAAGTAATTAAGACTATTAGACAAATAAAAATGTTTACCTAAATAGTAAATATACAAGCCGTTATATGTAGGGAGTAAGTCTTTAACTAAAGGCTAGGTTTAGTAAACCTTAAAAATACCTTTAGGGCGAAAATACAATTTTAATTTGATATTTCATAATTTATAAATTTCAATAAATTCTCTTCCTTTATTATTTAAAGTTCGTGAAACATAAATAACTTTAAAAAGAAAAAATATGTACAAAAGGTTGAAAATGTTAATTTGCTATCCAAATACAAGTGCTTTAGAAATTTGGTGTTTTGTATTTATGACAAAAGAAACTTGCCTATAATATTAAGAAATGACAAATAGAAGTTACATTTTTTATTTTTCTACACAATTATTATAAAACCTATTGGCTATATTATCAATATTTTAATTGAATACATCAAGATTCAACAACAAGTTAAAAATAAATATACTCAAATGTATAGAAAAAATTCATCAGCTATTATCACATTATTTTTGTGCAATATTACGAGTGACACAAGTAACATAAACTTTAAAAATTTAAAGTAATTAATTAATTATGATTAATAATAATAATAGGTACTGATTTTGGGGATTATAATAAGCTATGTTTGCCAACAAGTTTTACTTTAGTTTTTTTTTTTTTTTTGGAGCATACCATTAGATTAAAAATTTAAGTGTATAAAAGATAGTTATAAGAAAAAAATACCTAGATCTTGTAAATGAAATTAAACCCATACCAATTATTTCAATTAAAAGTATTAATCCATATTTTACTTAAGTTTAGAGGACCATAGTTAAGATACTAGCTAACCAAAATGAATGATTTGTGTATCAACATTTTCAGAAAAAAAGCTTTACCAGAATCCATTAAAAAATATAGTGATTACCATTTAAAAAAATAAAGTTTATTTTGCTAGTGCAGGTACACCTGCGTGTTTAAACGTTTTGAAATTGTTATAAAAAAAATCTCATGTTAAAAATAAAAACACGTCTTTTTTCATTTTTTCGAAATTCCATATCATCGATCTATAATCGTGAAAAAACCCCGCGTACAATGACATAAGATACACTTAGTTTTGTATATTATATTATAATATAGTACAGCAGTTTAGCGTGTGTATTTTAAGGAGCTCAATTTCTTTTTATACTCAACTTTTTAACCTGCTGGGTCGTTGCCCGTTGGATGATCTGAATGTTTAAACCGTTTGTTATGTATCATAATAACAAATTGTTAACCGCATACCATTTTTCTTTTGTTTTTCGTTTACTAAATTACCAGCTTTTATTGCATTAGAGTACAGTATAAATTAGACTTTCAATGTACAACTATTTCCCGTGTCGGAGTGAGCAAAAGTAGACAATTAATATCTTACTCTATTTCAAGTACGTTTTTTTTGTCTTCAAATATTTTTAATTTGTAATAGAATTTTACAATATAATATCACTACGATTATCACCCACGTCATATAGTTTTTTTTTGCATTTATTATCCACCTTATGAATTAACATAATAACATCCATCGACCGTTCACAATTGTAGCACTTAACATATTTTATATAATAAAACACTTAGCTGTTAAAAATAATTTCATCCATGATCCGCCATTACTATCCAAAACAATGAGCCTACACTATATAGTATAATATGTGAAACTCGTGATATTCATCTTGTATTTAAGTATCCTAACACTCAAAGGGTTTAATAAAATATAACTATTAGAACATGATGTAAAGTATGTGCTATGTACATAAACAAAAGCGACTGTATGTTTTCTGGTCTACGAGTAATATTATTGGCATCTAAATCAAATCACTGTAGAAGTATAAATTCCTGTACGTCGCACATGAATGTTATTATTATTATTATTATTCTATTTTGAAATGAAAGAGGTGGACTCCAGCCGTGGAGTTGGTGCAATGATTATAAAAATGTAAACACTGACCCTCCAACGTTTCCCTTGTACCTAATTATTTTACGTGTTAACTTATATATGTTTTTTTTTTTTTTTTTGTAATGTTATTATGGCAACACGTACATGTCAATTTTACATTTTTAGTTACCTGTGATATTCTTATTGTACTTGGAAACGGTGAAGGCTGTATTATTATAGTGAATATTCATCTCACACGAATATAAATTCATTATTCTGTGGAAAAAAAATCATTTGCAATTATATTATTATCTTGTTCTTACAGTGGTGTATACACTATACATAGCATCTGTATGAGAGAAGGGGACAGTGAAAATAACCTAACCAATGTATAAAACACATCGTGTTTTATGGTATTTATAACAGTTCAAAACAAGATCATTATTAGGGTGTAGATTTGAATATTCTAAAAAACAAGAAATACGCTTTAAAAATAATACAATATTTAATGAAATTAATAATATTGTAAAAAATGCTTTTAAAATTTGTTTCTAACATAATTTTTAGTAAAAAGGACTAACATAAAATATATTTGTTGTACAATTTGAATGCGATAGTTATGCATATTTTTGTTTTCTAAATTAAACGACTAATTTATATAAATATATTATTTACCTACCCACATAGGACGATCATATGGTTTTTCAGACCATTTTGTGCAGTGTACATCTCCACCACTGACAAAATATTTGTATTGTTTTAGAATTAATATTTAAGCTACATTTTCTTATAAAATATTTGAAAATTCTCTCAAACTTAAAAATGGTGGCCTAAAAATGTAAGACTATTTTTCCAAAATCAATGATTTTAGAAAAATTAAAATTAAATGTTTCAAGATCGTTGATCAAATTTTGTGTTCAAAGCAATATGTCTTAAAATATTCAGAAAAAATAAAATTTGATTTTCAATCCTTGCCCTTTTTATTACTTAGTAGTAGGTATAGGTATATATTATAATAGAATAATTTTGGATGAAAATTAAGAGACCCCCGCCCCTAAATTCACTATCAACTATCATCCTAATTAATTGTAACATTTGATAGTGCATTATTTACTAAACGTTTTGATTTTTAAACAATATACCATGAAGGCTATGAATTTGAGATAAATATTAATTTGATATTTTCAGCAGTCTATCGAAAAATCAATTGATCTATATAACTTAAAGTGGACACTATCGTAGTTTATTGATTTATTTAAATATGTTATTTTAGTAATTTTGAATTTTACAGTGATCTATTAAAATATTTTTAAATTAATTTTATATAAGCAATAAGTATAGAGACTCATTATTCCATTAATATAAATACTTCACCTCTGTATAAATTGTATTATTTACATTCTTAATGTTGAACTAGGAATTTATCAGAGCGCATGGAGCGGGGATTGATTTTACATAATATTCCAATGATTTCAGTAGAATATGGTTCAGTATAACTCTGGAACTCGGCAATGTTCCAAACTTACCTTAATATCACAATTCACAATAATTAACTCATTTTTTAAAAATATTATATAATATATTGAATTACAGTCTTAAAATAATCCCGACAAATGTACAAAACATTTAATTTATTTTAAGTATGCAATGCCATATACATATTAAAATTGTATTAATTTAACGTGATGATAATTATTCAATATACTAGATAACGGTACTAATTTAATTCAAAATGTTGGGGAATAGGTTTGTTTTAAAACAAACAAATATTGCTGCCCATATATCAAAAGCCAATATCAAACCCAACAAAATTATACTCTTATTTGAATCCCATCCGACAGATTGTACTTTCCACTTCTTTTCTTTCGTTTCCAAATTAACGGCCACCAGTCCATTATTGTCTTCATCCAGTTTTGTAATTTGGTTCTCTATTATAGAGGAAGTAATGGCAGTGACGTCATGTGCCCGTGGCACCGTCCCCTGTTTAGAAAAACCAACACATATAAGATACGAAAAAAAAATATGAAGATAGAGTTGTATTACTTGTAGGTATTTGAAAGTGAGATACCAAGGGTTCTATACTTATATTATAATAATTGTGTGAGTTAATCCAAAAACAAATGTATTATGTATATTGTATATGTTTTAAACAGATAATTTTATTGTGAGTTATTGTTATTACTTATTATCATCGATATAGGCAAAAACTTGTTATATAAAACATATTAATATACTTTAAAAGTTCTAAGTACTAACAAATAGTGTTATTAAATTAAAACAAAATAATTACTATGGTTATCTCTAAAGTATTAAATTTCTCTAGGTAGGTATCGCGCAAATTTGAAATTAAAATGTACACAACTGATATTTTATATTTATAGATATTTTGGTTAAGAATGAACTACTTGAGAAACCTCGTATTAAATTTTAAATCCTATTAGTTAAAAATTTGAAAATTTGATACATTTTTATCTACAAAATCATTTGCACATTTTCTTGATTTTGACGAACTTTTATCAAAATCAAAGCTTCAAATGATTATAAAAAAATTCATGCCTATGTACCTATCTTTAATATTTTTGAATTTCTATAATGAAAAGTCGTGTGGAACTTTGTATTACATTTTCAAGCTTTTTTTATCAAATGAAAATAAATTTATCAAAATTTATAGGAATAAAAAAAAATTCAAATTTGAAATGTCTATAAATAATTCAAAAAGAGTCAAAATATTATTAAAATCGTATAATATATTGAAAACCATAAAATAAACATTTGGTGAAAATATCAAGTATCTGAGGTTTTTGAATTTTGAATTTTTAAAAAAATAAGAAAATATTTGGATGAAAAATTGTTAATTTACGGATGAATATTAAAGGTCGTAAAAATGTAAAGTTCAAAAGCTCATAAAAATGTAATTCAAGTTCCCGGTAAACTTTTAGATTCTGAGCGGAGCGATGAATGTTTTGATTTTACAATGACGTGAGTTTTTTTTATTTTTATTTTTTATTTTTTCATTTTTATTTTTGTGTCTGTGTACACGATAAGTAGTCGAAATAATGCTTCGATTTTCAACTTAAGTATCTTGTTCGATGTCAAAGTGAATCTAGTTGGTGCATTTGGAAGCCAACATTTGAAATTCCCAGTAATTTTTAAAAGCGTCGAGAAAAACAAAAAAAATTTAAGCAATCCCGGAAATTTTTTGCCAAAATCGATTTTGGTTTTTTGCGTGATTCTAAAACGAATCACTGTAGATACATGACATTTTCACTGATTGTTTATATTAGCCTTTTCTATACAAGTTAACATTTTCAAAACATTTAGTTTTCAACTTCCTTATGTTGGTTTGACAAACAGTCTATTTTTTATACAAGTTTAAATTATTATGTACGAATGAATTTTTGTACTGTGCATTGGTTTCCCGTTGTCTTCTACACAATTTGATAAAAAAGTAAAAATAAATTTAAAATAATATACATGATGTATAAAAATAAAAATCTGATAAAATAGTTTAAAACTAAATATTTTACTGATTATGATATTATATTTTATAATAATTTATAGTTAATATCTATAAATTATGGTATACAATTGTAATTTAGACGTTTAAGTAAAAGTGTACTGTGTACCTATTGTAATATAAGAAATATTATAACGTATAGGTAATGTATTTTTTTTTTCAGAAATTAAAAACCTCGATGGATTGATGTATATTCGTAATAAACCGACTATCCTGAGTGGATGAATTTAGATTATTTTTAATATTTATACGCACGTTATCTTTATCATTCACCTTATCTGCTTTCTGAGGGCCATCTTCGAATGCATTATTAATGTACCCGTCTTGCGTCGTCAGTGGAGGTCCATCAGAAATTATAATCACACTTTTAGAGAGTTGATTTGGTTCTACCTCAATCTGTAATATAAATAGGATAAAATTTAACTTTGAATGACCAGTGAGTGGCCGATAATAATAATTTATTATCTATAATATAATGTTGATAAAACATTAGTCCTTATATTCTAAAATCTCTGCTTCATACGTTATTTATACGCCATTGTGACTTAGCTGCAAGTTGTGAAGCTAGAACCAAATTTTAAATACGAGCCCTCGTATTTTTTTCTTAATAACTATGTGGACAAGTATCCTACTGCCTACACTCAAGCCCGGATTAGGATAATTTTGGGCTCAGGGCCAAATATAATAATAATAATATATCCATTATCCATGGTATAATATTATAGGAAACGTACTGCCCACCATGGGCCCACTATTGTTCGATATCCATTATGGATCCGGGTCCATGCCCTCCCCCCTTAATTCGAGCTTGCCTACACCCTTCTCTACCATGTTGGTATATTTTCAAATGGCTTATAATAATTATAAATTTACATCATCCAGTATAATTCACCTAGCATGCACAGTTTACACCTCCATTTTTTCTTTTGATGCAGAAGTATTCAAATTCTGACAATTGAAATTTTTAATTATACTTAAGAACCCTATTTTAGATGTACGTATAAGCACAAAATAAGCTTAATGATTTACAATAATAGGTAAGTGGTTTTGCCACAGGACACTCCTCCTTAAATGGTAAAACAGATGTGTGCATTAGCCAAATTTGAGAAGAAGTCTTGCAGCATACCTAAGCCGCTCTTAGTCAAGTGTATGCCTTATTAACGAAAACAAATTGTGTGACTTATTATTATGCAATATTTATTTGGAAGTGGGAGAGAGGTAAGACGTAGCTAGTTTCGTAAATAAATTAATGAGTACCTACCTATGTCGGAAAAACAGTAATGTTAAACTATCTGTAGTTACCTATTATAGTCTGTCTCACGAAAGTCCGTTTAGCGCATACAGACTGATTCGATTGGTGAGTGGATAACCACGTGATCACGCTTACAACGAAAAGTTGGTGGGGGGTGCGAGGCGGCGAACGAATTTTGGTGGGCCGCCGGTCCCGTTCTCTCGCGAGACAGACTATAAGTTAAAGTATTAAAGTTTGTATGACGTAAGTACCTACAGCAATTAATTTTGAAATACCTAGGTGTTTAAATTTTTTTTTTAAATTGTAAGACATATAATATATTACTACCTATGTGTCATTGTGGCTATATGTAGTGTGTTAAGCTTTAAAACAATTTTAAATTATTTATTTTTAATGATAAAATGACAGATTTCTAACTAAATCGAGGATATAAAAATAACTTTTCACTTTACACTTGAATACATTTTATATAGGCATTATATTAACTTAATTTATGGAGTATAATAGATAGAGAATAATATTTTTGAGGGAATGACATATTATCGCTTTGTCTAAATATTGTCTTAAAACAATTTAAATATAATTTAAATTTACTACATTTTTTGTTTATTTTGAAAGTCGAATACAAAGTCAAATAACAATAAAATATAAAATCGACATGCCTTTCCCTCAAAAATATTATTCTCTATATTTTTTGTGATGGGGGATTTTACTCTAAGATTACTTAAAACCATAGAAAAAATGATTCTGCGTTAAAGCGGTTTGTCTATGTTGTTCGTGGTACAGAGAGAGAAAACAAATAGTGCACTGACATCCTTTTAAACAATTTGATTAACTTGCAGATCCTTGACATTTTTTATTTCCTACAAACAGGACTAATACACAAACAATAATATATAATGCTTACGGTCAATATTACAATTAAGAACTTATTTAAAATTTACGGAACTATTTAAAATCTATTACCATACCATTTAACTAAATGTTCGAAGGTACCTACCACTCAATAAAAAAACCTAACTATATTAAATACAAATGACATATATTTTTTTTATATAATATGTCTTAAAAGATTTAATAATAGTTAGTGATTTATAACCTAATAATAAATATATTTTATTGTTTTGTTATATTTATTTTTTCACATTTTAATATATATTTTTACCTATATTAATTGAATTTTTTTCTTGGTAGGCAGCCTAAACGAACTATATATGACTAACTCATAAATAATTAGATCAAAAACATTTTTTGCATAAAATAAAATAAGCAAATAAATCACTGCAACTGAATTTTTTTTATCTACCTTCATCGATAGTTTTCCGTAATATGTCTATTTGTCTCTAATTAATTAAGTCTGAAATCTCATGATAATATATTTTATTTTCAATTAACTAGGACTGCAATGCGGTTTGCTGATTGCAAGAAATTGAGCTGAGCGAGTTAAACACACCGAAGCTAATTGAACTTGTTTTTTGAATGACATGGATTTGATAGATTCTGATAACTGAAAAGGTACAAATTAAGATGACACTATCGTTGGGACATGCTTTTGTTCGAGGAAGCGTTTTTACTCTCAAATATAACTCTCAAACATATATTTAATACATTTTTCTTAAATATTACAAATGACAAACCAAACTAACAAATTATAACCACGGAAGAACAACATTGTTTTTAGTATAATAATCAATTAATGTCTATTAGATAATTCAGCCAATTCACGTAGACGGGCCAACTGGATTTTTTTAACGCTCCAAGACGAATTCTGATTAATTGACTTGAATAAATGATCAGGTGGAAATTTTAAAGGATCTTTGATATTCTTTTTGTTGACAATTTGTACATAAGCAATAGGATTTTTTGTCTAAGTTTTCTTGGAATGATTTTGCATATTTAACTTTATCATTTTGGTTTGGTCAAGTGCACATTGAATTGATAAGATAATCTTTGCTTATATTTGCTCCTTTTCTTAATCGAGGCATGTTTCAAGTATATTTGTTGTGAAATTATTGATTTATGCCGGATCTATGTTTCTATGGAAACAAAATTATGGTATCAAAATTAGTTTAAATTTAGTTTTTCGGAGATTATTCCTCGATGGTAGGTCGGACATCGATCAAAACCACTTGTTGGCACTCAGCGATGTCCATACTATCACCGTGCCATGTTTGGTTCAGATCGGTTAATCCGTTGCAAAGAAGTATGCCGTTTAGTAAACGGCTATCCCGAGTATAAGAGCTTCGCTCGGATTCGCCTCGCTCAGCTCAACTAAGAAAATTACATGATTAATTTCAAACTGAAAATTCACATTATTGAGGATTCTAGTATTATAAGTCCAAAATATTATTCAACCTAAAATGGTATTCTTGTAAGTGGTAAATGACAATAAAAATGTTGATATTTAAATTATGTATTTATATTTTCAACCTTAAATATACTTATTAATGGTGAAATTGAAATTAATTATTTAGATCAATTGTACATCATGTAGGTATTTTATTAATTCTTAAAAATGTGCTGATAATATATTTTCAATTCTCTTATAATTTGAAAAAATTAAACCCAGTAAACTGCGGAGAACGTATTCAAAGTACCTATCCATACAATAATAGACCTAATTTTATTTCTGTTTTGAAAAAATATATTTCAATACCTAAACATTTAGGCACAGCATCAAAGAAACATACGTTTTATACGATTTGTATGTTTAACGCATATGGCTTAAATATACCATATTTTATTGCAATAGTACACCCCCCCCACCCCCACTATATAATTTTATAACTTTAAGGTATTACTATGTCAGCGTAAGGGGGTGACCTATATTTAAGCCATATACCCTCACGCTGTCATATTATTATTGTGTTTGATAACAATAATATATAGGCTATGTGCAATAACCTTGTAAATTTATGCTATAATGTTATTATATAATATATATTGCACGATAATGTTTTCATTAATGATATTTTTTCAATTTTTTTTACTGTAGAGTTCGTCAATCTTTTAAAATGCATTAAGTGTCAATTGATAAGTAAAAAAAAAATATAAAATTATGAATAATATTGTATCTAATCTAAATTAATTTATATTATATCTAATATCTATACGACATTGAATTACATTTTTATAATAAGATACAATTTCAACATTGCTTAGGAATTAATAACATTTTGTTTGAAAAATTGCCTGGATAATTAATTTATATCATAATAACACAATAATTCAAATATTTTTGACTAGAAGTTATAACTTAAATTTTCAAACATAAGGATATACTATACAACAAATCTAATTTACATAATATTATATGTATTTCCTATATTAATATCTACAAATTACAATTAATATTATATAATTATTTAATTAAATGTATGTAAATGTATGAAAGTTATATATTATGTATATGTATAGTACCTGTTTATAGATCTAAAAATATTTTCGATTTCATACAAATCGATACATTTTGTTATTTGCACTTTTCATTGTAATCATTTGTCGAGAGTGATGTTATACGTTTAAAGACAAACAATAAATAAAATACTTGGCAAATTTATCATTGAGACAGGTGCAATAATTCTAGACGTTGAAAACACTTAAAATAGGTACACTTTTAATCATAATTTAAAGCATGTTACGTAACTGACCAATGGGAAAGAGTATTACTCTGAATACGAATACGATTATTGTTATTATTATTATTTTTATTATTATTACTATGAAGAAGTCATAGCTATTTTCCATATTCTAACTTCATGAATATAATGTGGGTATAAGGTGATTAACCAATACCATTATTCATTACTTACCTGTATTAGATTTTTGGAATTTTTAAATGAAGGTACTTAAGGAGTAAAAACCAAATTATTCCCAAATACGAAGAATTTTTATGAAATTTAAAGAGCGTCCGTATATTCTTATTTTTTCAAACGATATATTTTGGAAATTTGGTCCTTGAATTTATTTAACAATTCTAAAAATTCTAATATTTTAATGAATGCGTGATTGAGAAGGTTAGGTTGCACCCCTTCCTAACTTTCTCAAGAATTTGAAATATCAAATCAACCATTTAAGTTATAAGAAATACAAATAAGTAGAGTTAGAATTTCATCTGTTCACAAATAATAATTATTCAATTTGTAGAAATAAAATTATATTATAACATATAATTATCAAATTTGATCGTACCTTATTGGATGATTCTTCTTTTAAGCTACTTGAATCACTAAATCCTTTGTTCACGTAACACTCGTCATTCATTGCAGTTTTTCCCATAACATTAGCTGTTGAACTGCCTTGATCCGATAGCCCATTTCCATCGTTCTGCTGATCATCATAGAAACGGAGCTCTTTCACATCCTAAAAGTTGAAAAGCCTATTAAATTACTAGAACTTATATAAATAATCATTTGTATAATATACCGATTTACCAGTGAGATATTTTAAATTAGATGGTTATGGTTGAAAAAATTAAAAAAATAAAATTCGAGTATAATATTTTATAGTATCTCAAACATTATTTAAATTTGATGAAAGTAATGGTCTATATTTTTTTAAGACAGCCTACAAATATTGATACCTATTTTAATTCAAGCCGTTAAGCTTTTAACTTAAAACACCATGTAATACTTTATGTTATATTGGACAACCTCTATACTTCAGTATATTATAAAGGTATAATATATTTTATGTATAATATATTGCAATGTCTCGCAATATATAGAGTTCATAATTATAAATATTTACCATTTTATTTTATTCCTTAAATGTTTGAGCTATAAAAATAAGTAACTATTTAAGTAAAGAACTTTATGAACGATGATATGGTAGAAAACTGATCATATTACAACACATAAGAACGTAGGTATTTCATTATTTTGTCATTCTGAATTTATAAGTGGTTATTTTATCAGATTAAAACCGATTAATTTAAGTGTTATAATATAACAAATATTTAAGTACCTATTTTTCATATTGGGTATCATTCTACCTATATAATAATCTAATAGGTTACCTATTGACTTATATAATGTACTTATACTCGTAGGTACCTACGTAATACATTGTCGGTAAAATGGCATTTATAAGGTTGTCGGTGATCATTTAATTAAATATAAATGTAATCTTTTCTTTGTAGTATTATAGTAAAATATTAACAACAATTATTATTTTAACTGGTTTATATAGTAGCAAAAATAGATATGATATAACGAGAATAGTAGGTACCTATAAAAACGTGTTGTGAGTGTAAGGACATATTTAGTTCTTAACTATTATAATTTATAAACATCAGGTATCATACGAGTGTACAAGGAAATAATATAATTAAGAGCGGATGAAATTTGAACGACGAAGAAAAATATTTGTAACTGTTATACATAATATTTATAATATATATATTATAATGTAGGTGAAATAATTATGGAATTCATTTTTAACATAAAATAATATTTTTCGTACAAAAACCAATATTATAACAATTCATAGACATTTATTTTTTTATTTTTATTTATTTATTCAGCCAAAACAATTACAATTAAATAATAATTACAATAAAATACATTAATAATAGCTGATACGAATACCAACTGAGCTATAAGCTCGTATATCGTAGGTATACGGATTTCAACGATATTACAATTCGTTTAATGTAAAATACTTATACAAATAAAAATATGATATAATCAAATAAACATAACATGGTGAAAGAAACTTTAGAAACAAAAGTTAACATCAGAATTACATATTATGGGTATATATTAATATATTATTCGATATTATGTTTAGAGTGTTTAGACATATTGACTTTTTATGATTTTATTGATACACCATACACACATTATCATCAAGATCACTAGGTAACTATTTTATTTATCGCCTTTTTTATTCGATTTTTATCAATAATATTAATTATATCATTGGTATTATTGGATTAACGTTTACATAAACTTTTTATAAGACTCTTTACTTGGTTATTTAAATTTTTGAAAATAGTTTTCCCCATGTAATTAGGAGTATTTCTAGAACTAGTTAATGAAGTATATGACGGTCAGACGGTTCAATGTATTTTCATGTTCTTTTGTCTATTAAGTCTGTAGCATTGAGTGTATGGTTATGTATGGATTTAACTAAAATTTGCCTAATGTATAATTTATGAACATATAATATATTAGTTTGGTTGAAACATTATTCTGATGGGTATTTTAATGGTAGGGAGTATGCTACTTTTACAATCATTTTTTGTGTAGTATGCAATGTTTATATATTCTGTTCTGTCGATGCCTCCCCAACATGTTATGCCATATAATAGAATCGAATTACACAGTGCCATGTAAATTTGTCTTATAATTAATTTATCAAGGAATCGAATTTTGTATAATAATACAGTTAAGGTCCTCATTTTATTTTTGATATTATGTGTAATATTCTGACCATTTTAGGTTGAAATCCATTGTTACTCCTAAGTATTTGAATGATAATACCATTTTAATGGGTTTGAGAGTACAGTATTTTGTCGTATTAGTTCCACATTTATGTATTATACATTTATATCCAACAGGAAGCTGTGAACGTATATAGTAACTATTGGCATGCAAACCGATTTGTTTGTGTTAAGTGACTACAGATTTTTTTCCATCCAGTAATCTAGTCTGTTCAAAAAGAGATCGGTACGGGCGGCCAAATAGTGCGCATGAGCGTCGCTTTGTTCAGTGGCAGCGCCTGACGCGTCGCCGTAGTGGGGACGGCATCTGACCATATTATGTCTGACCGCCGCCCGACGACAACTGATCGCCGCCGTGTACCGATCTCATTTTGAATATACTATAAATATAATCGATTTTGACAGTATGTTTCAATTACTTTCCTTTATAACACCTTGATCTAACAGCTCACAAATTATGTCCGTCACCAAGTTCTTCTCTACATATGACCATTGTCAAGGTTGGTAATTAAGAGTAGTGTGGTCTTTCAAACTTATATTGACTTCGTAGTTTATCTCAGGAGTCTCTGGCTTCAACTCCTTTAAGTAACAGTTAGGTATCATATATTTTTTAGCTTACATCTATCACTAAATGGTAACTCACCTATGTTCAATTCCACCTCATCTTCAAACTCTATTAAGTATTAACCCTAAGTCAACCAGGAAGTCATTACCATTACACCGTTTTTGATTCGAATTTATCATTATATCCTACCACCCGACCACCGTCACCAAAATAAATATAAATCCCCTTAATGAAATATCTACCCAATAAACATTCGGATGACATAGTCTGATCATCTAACACATAAAATACTTTTTTTTTAAATTAAATCATAATCATCCAATAATACTGTAGAATTAGCAACCACTCCAATACTTAATTGAGACCAGTTGATACCCGAAATGAAAGTATCATTATTAAACGGTTGTCTGACACTAGTTTTAATAAGATAAGACTTAATCAACGATAAATCGGGCCGCTACCACTATCTAAGGCTGTTTGATTATTACGATGATTATTTTTTTTCATCAATTATTTTACAGTTTTTATAAAATGCGATTAATCGAAATGTAATTAATCAATTAATCGAATAATCGAATTTCCGATTAATCAAATAATAATAATATAAATAGTATATTATATATTTTATATAATATAAAAGTGGACATCTACTGATCTACATCTACATGTCATCCTGCAAATATTGTTTAAAATGTGTATAATATAAGGAATCAATTCACCCTTAGTAAAAAAATCGATTAACGGTTTATCAGTCTTTTTTTAAAAAAAAAGGTGCTCTGCTTTAAAGTAGGTTACAAGTTGGTCACTGTATAATGGATGGTAATAAATTTGAATTCAATGATATAATATCATTCTATAAGAAAAACGATTCTGAGAGAAAATGGTTAGTCAGCCTATGATATTACTAAGTATATTTGATGAAATTAAGGTGAATAAAGTAATTTATATATAACCTATTTACGTAGAATCTTGTTTTAAATTTGTAATCATTAGCTATAAAAAATGAACATTTTATAAATTTTTAACTATAAAATTATTATTAAATTTTAAATGTTATAAATTTTGTCAAAATTTGAACTTTAAATGCTTATAAAAAAATTGTGCCTATGTATTTTTAATATAAAGTATTATTGTAACAATATATCAGGAGCTTTGCATTAAATTTTCACGCTTTCTTACCTAACAAATAAAATTGTATATTTTATATTTATAGAAAAAAAAACTGAAAAAATTGAAAACTGAAAATGTCCGTAAACAGCTCAAAAAGAGTCAACATATTTTAAAATTATATGGTGTTAGGAAACGCTAATATAAACATTCACTAAAATTTTCAAGTACCTACATTCATTCGGTTTTTAATTACAACAAAATTAGAAAATCGTTACATGAGAAATCCAGTGAATATCAAATGTTGTAAAAATATGAATTTCAAACTCATAAAAATGTAATTTGAGACAATTTGACATTTTGTTTTTGATAAAGGTAGACAAACTTATGAGGAATCTTGTATTACATTTTCAAATCTTAGATTTAAAAAGATAAATTTTTATGAATTTCCAACTCGAAATAATTTTCGTAATTTTTACGTATTTTGTCAATATTTGAACTTTAAAGGCTTTTATCAAAAAACTGTGAGGCTAAGGATATTTAATATTTTCATCTGCCTTTGAAACAATACATTAGGAGCCTTCTATTAAATTTTTAAGCTTTTGTACCCAACAAATAAAATTTTATTGATATTTATAGAAAAAAAAACTAAAAATAATGGAAACTGAAAATGTCTGTAAAGAGCTCAAAATAACTTAAAATATTTTAAAAAATTCATGGTGTATAGAAAATGTTAATATAAACAGTCAGGAAAAATGTCATGTATCTACGGTAATTTGTTTTAGAGTTACACCGAGAACCAAAATCTGTTTTCGAGAAATCGATTTTGCGTAAAAATTCCCGCTTTTCCTTAATTTTTCTTTTGTTTTTCACTGAGCGTTTGAAAACTACTGGAAATATTTTACTTTTGATCCTCCAAAGTACCAACTAGATTCACTTTCCTATCAGAAAAGATACTGTTGAAGAAAATCCAAGCACTTTTACTGTCCTAAAAGGTGATGATGGACACGAAAAAAAAATTAAAAAACACACATCATTGTAAAATCAATACATTCATCGTTCCACTCAGAATCTAAAAATTAATACATGATATAAATTTAAGTAAATATAATTATGAAATCATGATAAAGTAAAAAGTAAAAATCAACTAAAAAATTGCGCCCTAGGCTCGTGCCTTTGAGTAAATCCACCCCTGTATATGCGTCATTATATTTAGGCAATACAATGTTGGTTTGGCAATATGTGAATAAGTAATATAATGATATTTCAGATTCTATAGAAGATGTAGGTTTAGGTATACAACCTACATGCTATCAACGATGAAATAATAAACAATACTTAAAGAACAAAACTAAATGATTTTTTGAAAAAACAAAAATTATCATAGGACATCAATGCGCTCAAAACGCTTGAGAAAAAATTAACTACCTACTACACTTGGTACAAAACATGATAAAATAATTTTTGGTTTCTTTACAAATTGCAGTGTAGGTACACTATAAATATAAAATATAAAATAATTCTATTCAGAGTGCATAATATTATTATCATATGTATTACACAGATTCCCATTTTTTAGCCATTGTATGATTAACTATTTGTTGGTTTATTAAAAATGTTTTGAAATAAATCATA